AAAAAAATCCAGCTGAGCTGGAGATAGGGTTTATTTTCAGAACTATTCATGGAGGTCAACATTCTTGCTAACAGGAGGCCCATGTCTAATTCCCCATGTCGTATTCTAAACCTTTAATTCCAAAGAATCACCAGTTTCTCTCTTTTTTTCTCTTTGTTTTTGGGGATTTTTTTGGTTTGGTGATTTTTTAGGTGGGCTTTGTTGTTGTTGTTGTTTTGTTTGGTTTGGCTTTTTTGGTGTGGGTTCTTTTTTGTTTTGGTTTTATTTTTTGTTTTGATTTTTTTGTTCCTTTTTTTTTGTTATTTTGGGGTTTTTTTTGTAGCAGACCATATTCCCAAGAAAAGTGACAATCACAAATCACATTTGGCAAGAATTTGAAATGATCATGCTTTGTTTCATGCCATTTATTATAATTCTCCCACAGCAATGGGCTTTGTTCTACTGTGTCCTCACCCTGAACTCTGGCTTCTATTTCAGCACACATTTGTAATTCTCTATCCCTGGGCTGAAGAGCTCAAACCTCTGGCTCACCAGAACAGCCCGAGACAGCTGGAGCAATGGTTTCTGAGGCATACCCATCCTTCTTGGATCACCACCTCACAGCTGGCCAACTTTCTTATGTGTAAGTGCTGGATCGGGCAAGAAGAAGAAAGAAGGAACTAAAAACTGTATTGACTTTCACTTGGAGCACCAGCCTGACCTTATTCAATCCAACAGGAATTCTGTTCTGATTTAAACAATGCCTGAATTGAATATTTATAAAGTTTTATTTTATTGAAGATTACTTGTGAAAAACTACTGCAAAAATTTGTTTGGGGATAAAAATTGAGTAAAAGTTTACCTATTTTGCATAAGCATAAGGAACATAATTGTAACCTACTATTTCAATTAATTTAAATTATATTATATTTAAAATTGCACACCATATTTTACAGCTCTTTCAGTCATGCTGGACAGAATGACAACCCCAGAAGTTTCCATTGTGCCACAGAGATGTGATGTGTTCTCCTTGGGACTGGAGGGGAGACAGTGCCTCAAGACACTTCCAGAGGGGAATTTTATGGCACAAGTGTTCTGAAACAATAGCCCAGAAACAGGTAGCTACAGCACTGCAAACAGCATCACTGCTTAAGAAGTAGGGCAGCTTAAAGGAGGAGAGAGAGTTCTATTCAAAGTCAGAGAGAAAAAAACAACCTCTTGGTTTCCATCCAAATGCAAACAGAAAGCCAAGTCGCAGCTGAAGAACTGGTTCCTGCCAGCTCCACCTGAGGAACAGGGCATTTTGCACAGTAGTAGTTACAGCCTCCAGATGGCTTTGAGGTACAGCCCCTAAGCAGTTTAGTTTGACCTGAAAAGCCCAGGGCATGGGAGAAGTTTCCCATCCCTGATCACAGACATGGGCTTGGGGAATTCCTCTGAGCACTGATTCCTCTAGAGTAAAACAAAGCAGAGCACCCTCACTAGGTTCAGGTCCTTTCAGTTGTACCTCACTACATCATGGTGAGTTTTCCTTTTTATTTCAATCATCCTATACTTCAGACAGCTCATTCCTGACTTGTGCTAGCAATGACCACTCTCCACTTTCATTCTCCCCCACTGAGACCCTTCCTATCCCACACAGGAATGAAACAACAGCACCCCAGCTGGTATCTATAGGGTAGCAGGCAGATACAGGGCCACATTCTCAACCGATGCAAATTATCCTAACTTCATTTACTCCAGTGGAGTTCCTGGTGTTTTCTATCAGATAACGATGTGGACTTTAGCATTAATCATGTGCAGAGAAAAAACCCACCATTTCAAGCTTCATTATGAAACAAGTGCTACATTAGCACTGAGCATGGAAAATCTCAGAATTTCCCTTTAATGATCTTGAAGATTATGTGCAGCAGGAAAGAAGAAGTGGAAAATCTGTCATAAATATCATTGAATATTTTTAAAGCTAGACTTTCTTTAACACTCTTTCCCTAAAAATATCACCAAAATCTAGAGACTATTCATTAATTAGAAGCAAGGGGATTGGTTTGTCATTAAACTATGTCTGTGAGACAGCACACAATGGAAAGACAAAGTCCTCAGGCTCAGAGACAGCATAAGCAAGAAAAAAAAGTAGATAGGCAAGCATAGCTATTTTAAAATATATTATATGTAAGTATGGAAACAACTAAAAAAATCTCAGGATGCACTTATTAAATATTGTCTGTTGTAGCCTGCTCTTTTCTTAGCCTTGGCAACTCTTTTAGTCACTACACATCATCTGATGGGGCCAGGAAATACCTGTGATGGGGACTTGCTTCCAGCATCTCTAGTGACAGCTGCAGACAGCCTACAGGAGTGGAGGCTGCAGTGGACTCCCCCTGCTCCCTGGTCTTGTGTAGTAGGTGCACAGAACACCATAATTCTAAGCAGGCATCAGAGGCTGTTGCTTGAACTGACTGTTACTTTAACTTTACAATGAAAGAAAATGTTCCTCAAGTCAACCTTTTCCAAGTCCTGGTCTGTGCTCAGGCACTACCCCTGAGCTGTCTGCTGCAGCTCCCATGAACCCTCCACACCTGAGGTTGTATTAGGCTTGAAGAAACCCTCTAACACCATCCATCCTGACCTCAGAACAAGAGGAAGAGTCCTAGTTCCTATCAAAGCAGCCATGGAAATGGAAGATGTTACAGCTTTGTGCACTGTCTCAGCAGGCTCTTATGAGTCTAAGGCATAGCAACACAAAACCTTGACAAGTGTCCATGTAATAAGAATAATGTTTGACAGGAGGACATAAAGAACTAGTCAAGAAGGTTGTAGCTCTGATAGAGTTTCTACAAGGAGATGAACTTGCTTTCTTTGATGGTTGTGTGAAGTAAAACCATCTTCTCTCTTTCACAGGAACTGGAATTCTATTAATTACATGTCATTTGCTAAAAAGAAAGAAACAAAAAGTGTTGTTGAATATTGTCTTCTATGGGAAAGGAACTAAGGCAGCATGTAGTGCTGCATTTCACTGAAGTTTTTAACAGAATGAATACTCCACAAGACTTCACTTGAAGAAAGGAACTGTCAAGTACTACAGCCTTTATAAAAATTATCAGGTTACTTTGAATGTATTTGGGTGATGGTTACAAGAATTTTTTGCTTGGCTAAATTTTATCACACTCCCTAATCATGCTGCCAAACATAATTCCATTTGCTGCTGTCTACCAAAAATCTTAGTGTCTCTGTTTCCACAAAACTATACCCACCTTGTATCCTTATCCCACAAGAATCTTCAAGTCAAACCAGCCCTGTATTTCTTTCTTTCCCTTATAGCCTTTTAATGACAAGTTTACCCTCTCTTTTGAGTCAAACTTTTGCCAAAAAAAAAAAAAACAAAAAAACAAAAACCAAACAGCAACAAAAGCTTTGGGAGAAAGAAAGGAATGAATATGCAAACTACTACACAATTACAAATAGACAAATAAGAAGAATAACAATAGAATTGTAATTGAAACATTACCATTTAGTTTTTGGACTGATTTCATGGTCTCCTTCTCCAGTCTTTCATTTAGAGTTGGAGGGAGCAACAGAAAACCCTTGGTCTCAGCTGCTAAGCCAGCAAGGCTTTAGACTTACAAAGGAAGTCAGTTCTACCTGTGCATGGCCTGTGAGCTCCCATGTATGTGTTTACTGAAGAATGGCTCCCACACAGCCATTACATTTCATTTTTTAATACTAAATCCTCAGATCCTACAAAACTGTTTTACCCACTTATCAAATAACGTGCCAAGTTGAAAAAACTATCTTCAGTAATCTGCTAATCAGTCTTTCCTACTAAGGTCTATTCTATTGTCTGCATTTGAGATAATGATTATTAAAATTGCACAATTCATCCCACAGGGTGTTTTTCAAATTATACAGAGCACAATAGAATGCATTTTCTTGCTGTTGAAATTCCGCCTTCTTCAGGGTGGAAACACAGGAGATATGGATGAGTGGAACATAACACTGTGCAGCAAAGAGGGGAGGAGAAACCCATGCCAAATATAGCAGGGCAATCCTTTAATCCTATAGAAAAGTGAGAATGTTCTTGGATTTTTGCAGCCTAATTTGATATCACCAGCCACTCTGCACAAAATCTACCCCATCTGTGTGTAACCCACAGGTGGCCAGACCTGTGCAAAGAGATCAGGCTGTGTAAGGATGTGTAAGCATGCAGGTTCCTGAGCCTCACACAAACACTTTGATTTGTGTGCAGGGCAGGAAGGGCTATCTTATAGGAAGAGAACAAGCACATGCTTGCATGTGTAGGTCCAGAAGACAATCCAAACAATCTAAATTATAGAATACAGCCCCAGAGAGGTGAAAGGCACCATCAGCCTGGCTGGGTGCTGACCAGGGATCCCAAAATGTCTGTTCTCTGGAAAGAAATGAACAACACAAGGTTTCACAGTAGTTCAGTTTTATAATAACTTTGTTTCCATTTATTAAATTATAATTATTTAGAATGGCAAAAATTCACAGACAGTAAGTTTGAACAAAACTTTGGAAAGTAACCTCTAAGGAGCAAAACTTCTGTTGGGTTTGGTGAGAGAAAAGGCCCAGACCAAGGGTGTTTTCAAACAGTTTTAACGCTTTACCTCAAGAAACTTCCAGATCCAGAATCAAACAGAAAATCTTTTTTAAAAACCTACCCTAAGCTACATGTTCATTTGTAATTGGATAGGCAGGATATTTAACTCACATTTCCATGCTGTTTTCAGACCAGAAGAGAGCCTTCTATGCTTCTTCCAAAAACCAAACCCAGAAGTTTCTGTGGTGGGGCAGGCACAGAGGCTGAGCAAGGCCATGCTCTGCAGCTTCAGTGGTAGCTCAGCATCCCCTTCCCTCCCATCCAGAACTTCTCTGGCCTGGCAAGATCAGACTTTTTAAAAGAAATGGAAAAATGCAGCTTATCGTGTCAATATCCCTCCTTCTTTAAGATATACTGTACAGGTCATAACTTATCCTTTTTAATAAAAAAGAAATAAATTTACCTTCTGAGTGTCATTTCTGACCACTACTGCCCCTTTTCTAAAGCCACGGGGCTTCACAGTAGACAGCCTGATGGAATTCCAGTTCACAGCTTAATTTTCCTCCTGATAAAAGAGACAAAAAGTTCCTTTCAGTAAAAATAAAATGTAATATGGTCGGCAAATTTGATATATTACAACCTCCGACCTCAGCTTAATTGTTCACAAAGGGCTAACGGTACCACTGGCAAGTAAATGACTTCTACAGAGTGTTGCAACTCTGATAGCTGAAGAGAAGGGGAGCAGCAGTCTGACAGATAATCAAAATTTTTAATGTGAACCATAGTGAGAGAGGTTATTCAGAGCACAGCCAGACTGTAGGAGCCTTCTGCAGCTGCCATAGTAGCTCCTTAGGATGAGAAATGCTTAAACATCATCCTCACTCAACTTTGTTAAGTGTTGCTGCTGTTAGCCACCAACCAATGGAGTCTGACACTTTACAGCAGCAGACAGCAACGATCTGGGATCACAGACAGAAACATGCTACTTAAATTTCTCTGGGGCCAGAGCTGTCCCAGTTCTGTGGTCCTCAAGAGCTTTTCTCAGAGTTTGACAAGGAACCAAGAGAAAGAGTATGAAGGCAAAAAGAAAAGAGTGATGCAAACACACCCACCACTGGCCCATGGAGGTTGACCTTTTAAAGGCTACTCCAGAGAGCAGGATTTTAGAGAGACAGCCAGCTTTCTGACAGCTCACACAGGTTTGCAAAGGGCCATAGGGGGTAAGGCAAAGGCTGGGTGGAAGAGAGCAAGGAGGAAGAAGTGATATTTGTCCTGGTTGTTTTGATTTGAGAAGCTAGGAAAAGACCAGATTTGTCCCAGATTCTCCTCACCATGTGGTGTCCTGATGAAATCCACAGACACCTAGAGCTGGTGAGCAGAGAATGAGCCCATGGAGTTGAAGGGACCATGTCACCAAAGAGGTCCTTACTTACTGAGAGCACACAATACAAAATACTCAGTGGCTGGGTAGAGAGCATGACCCATAAACTGGTTTACCTTGTTGTCTTTATTATATTAGATAAAAGCAGGAAAATCACATGGAAATCCCCACAGCTGATTTGGTTGCTAAAGGAGAGATGGGTCAGGGGCCTACACAGGTGAGCAAATGCTCACCTGCACAGTCTAAAGCATTCTAGCTGCTCCAGGATATTGAAAAGCCAGCAGCAACAAAAAGCATTTCTGGCTAACACTTTGCAGAAATATAACATCATAAATGAGTATGCTGAATAAAAATACAATACAGTGTGCAAGCATGTCTATAAAGAGAGGGCACTTGCCAAAGTGCTGCCTGTACGCATACATTTACACCTTACCAGGCACAGGTCATTAGCAGATGTACTTATACAGAGAATGCTGAATGCAGTTTCCTCCTTCCCCTCCTGATTCAGTGTGGGGTCAACAACATCAAACAGCTCCCACAGAGAGCACTTGCAGCCCCCATGAGACCACCAACAATTGCATTTGTCCTGGCAACTGCTGCTCCCCCTCAGGGCATGCTCCCAGTGAGTGATGCACTCCCAGCCCCTGGCGAGCTGAGCCTGCAGCACAAAGGAGCCCAAGCTGTGTCCTACCAGGAAAAGGAATTATAAACCTGCCAGCTAAGAGCATAAATGCTTGATACCTCCTCCCCAAAACATGGAGGACAACAGCTGCCTCTGTGCCACCCTGCACGGCTCTCCCCAAGCCATGTAAGGGTCTGTCCCACCCCTGTGGGATCACCCCTGTGAACACACCCCAGGAGCTGCAGCACCACCCCACCACTCCAACTCTGCCACAACCACTGACAATCGTGCTGGCTTCCTGACAGGCAAAAAGGATGGTGAAAACTATAGCTGTCTTCTTGTTGGTGAAAGGCAGCTGAGCAACCCACACGTGCAAACCAAAGGGAAAGAACATTTCCAGATCAGCGGGTGTCTGCAGCTCAACAGGCAAAATCTCCAGCCTATTTCTAAATTAGGGATGTTGATATATCCAGCAGCAGCCACTAGTCATGTTAGCTGTCTCAGTGTCACTGGAAAGCAACTACCAAAGCCTTTAGAAGTTCATATTTCAATTTTAAAGCTGAGGCTATTTTAGCTAATGTCCCCAAGGCAATTGTCTGGTCAAATGTCAGAGTTTATACTGCTAAAGGAAATCACTGTGTTTATGAGATCTCTGCAGTTTGGGAACCACATTAAACCCCATTTGAGTTTCTCAGATTATACTGTGTTGTGGATATCTTTTTTTCCCCGTGTTTGGAACATATCTCAATCTCCTTGTATTCCTATGAGCCATTGAAAATATCTCCCTCTGTCATGTTAAAATATGAGCTTCATCACTGTAGGATTTTTCTCCATTAATTCACTTATTAAAAAAGAAAAAAATCTTTCAATTGATGTTGTTTCTGTATGCTTCTGAGTCTGATATCCTGCAAATTAGTAATTAATATACTTTTTCATTAGCAAAACATAGCTCGAATTTTGGTGTTTCATGACCAGTGCCAAGTTTCAAACTTTAATTTAACCCTTAGAAGCCCAAGATTCCCCTTCCTTTTTTTCTCTCTGGGCTTCTTGGGTTTTTGCCCTCCCCACTGCATTCCTGCCAGCAGGGATTGGCTGTTTTGCTTTGGCACAGGCACAGTGCAGGTGTTTCTTGTGGCTGCAGAGGAGCTCTCAGCTGCCTTCCACGAGTTTCACCCTGCCCATGTTCATGAGCTGGTTGCACCTCAGAGATTCCCTGGACATGTAATTTGGTCTCAGGTATTTGGAACCGTACATATCCACTCAAGTAATGTGGCTTGAAAGCATTTCTTGATTTGCAGACTTTAAAACCCCATACTTTCTCCACCACTACACTAAAGTGCTTGTTCCTCTGCCAGGCCTGAGTTGTTAAAACTCCGCTTTTTTTCCTAGCAGTGGGCTTGTTCTCAGATTTTTAATGTCTCCTCTAGTTTGTGGTTTATATGTGTCTGAATGTCATGACACCTACAAGCTAGCACTAAATTCTATGTACAGTTAATCCCACTGAGTTTGTCAAAGAGCTTGAGATGCCCAAAGAAACTATGGAAATGTGGGTTTTTTTAAGTTTGGTCTTCACAGAAGACTTGGCCAGAGAAGCTGGACTGCCACACTACGTGGAAGCACTGATGATGGATGTAAATGTGAACATTCCTATTCCAAGGAGCTTTCTTCCCAAAGCTTTTAACTTACATGCCTTACACTTAATTTGGTTAATATTAAATGCCACTCCTAGAGCAGCCTGTATTGGAGACCATCCTTCACAAAACCCAACATAAATAACACAGTATCTGATGAAAAGCTACACCTTTAAACACAGAAGAGGTGAATTCACTTTTCTATTTCTGTGCAAACAGTGGTTCCTTTCCTCCATGCCCCAGTCCCCTGTGTGTGGTTATGTGACCACAGTGGCACAGGGCTGCAGCACCCAGCACCTGCCCACACACAGGAGCTCCCATGTCTGAAACAGGACAGTGTAAAAGGAGCATTTTAGTAGTGAGAGAGAGGGGGCAATAATGTTCACAGTATAGTTTTTCTTCCTATAGTCAAGGCTGGGGTTTTTTTCTGCTTTGTTCTCGTCATATTTCTGCTAGATCCTCCCCATTTTTGAAAAGCAACAGGTACCAGATGCTGAGAAGATAGCACTGAGCTAAGCCTGGAAGCTAAATTTTCTGATTATCTTTCATATAATGAGCATCTGTAGTTTTTAGATTTATTTATCTAAGTACCTCCATTTCCTTTGGTATTTTTTTTCTTCATATTATTGGCTGACACCCAAGTAGGCAAAGTATTCCAGTGCCATCCTATTTCTAGGTTCAAATAAAAATTTAAAAAAATAAAAAAAGAAAGAAACAGTGTAAGGTTGATCACACATTTGTTATTAAGTCAAAGCCGGATTCAAGTGTTTGTGTGAGGTAGAATTATCTCATTCTTTTTGTCTGTGTCTTTCTGTGATCTACCAGTCAAGTATGTGATTGGATTTCAGCTCAACAAAACCTTAAATTACACACCTATTGTGCCTGAGCTAAGCCTAGTTTCACAGCACTGGAGAAGGCTCCTCACTGCTCTTTTGGCACTGTTCGATCTGGCTTCTGCTATCATCCGCAGGTTGATGAATGAGTAATAGGATTAGAAAGTCTCATCTCTGAAATGCTGTAATTGTCACATTTGGTGAATTGACAAAGGCCTGGGTGATGGAGAGGTGCTCCATAATGTAAAGTCATACGTTCAACCTGCACTCACTGGGCAAGGCTAAGGGAATGGGAGGAATAAAAAGAATCCCTTCAACTCCCCATTTGTCCAAAATACACAGATATCTCGCCCTCTAAATTAGCCTTTTATGCATGAGTTTGTTGGAAGGCAGAGTGCTCTGCCTCTTAGAGACTCTTATCTCTCTGGAAGGAAGATGATATACTTGTTGATTCTTTGGTTAGTGCAGGAGATTAAAAAGTCTAGGAGGGCTAGAGCAGGGGGGCAGATTTTCTTGTCTTCCCCAGCAATCTTCAATTCAAAACACCAGGGGAGAGATCTTTCCCCAGACAAGAAGAAAAGAGCAGCTCAAGCCATGACTCAACAGCAGAGGATCTGAACCTCTGTATTCCTATGGACTGAGTTCCCATCCACCTTCTTGGGCTCAGTAACACACTGGTTCTGACAGAAATTCCACTCTTCTCTCTGTAGGCCCACCTATATCAGCCAGGATGCATCTGCAAATGGACAGTCTTCAGTGGCTCCTATTCCAAGTCTCTTCTAAAAGGGTAGATTTCCAAAAAAGTTTACAAGCCAGACTTGGGTAGATGTGTTACTAAGGTACAATGGGGACTTACCTGCCTAAATAGCTATGTGAACATAGTATTGAACAGTACAGCAGAAAACAATCAGAGATTTTTATAAGTAAACAGACTTTACTTATACTTTCTCCTGTTTACTGCTTCAGCTTCAACTGCTTACAAGCAATGGCAAAAACCCTGTTTTTAAATAGAAGAATGGAGAATTTAAAAAAAAATATAAAGGAGTAGTTCTCTATTCCAAAGTACCATGAGCACTGCCTTCTCCTGAGAAATGGCTT